GCAACCACCAGATTGCCCAGTGTACTTTGCAGGGGCCCCACATTACCCGGTGCCTTCTTCATCCTCCCTATGTATTTGAAAAAGGACTTTTTATTATCCTTGATCTTGGACGCTAGTCCTAGCTCTATGTCCACCTTAGCTTTCCTGACAGCCCCCCTACAGGCCCGAGCAGAGGAAGTATACTCCTCTTTGGAGATAGCACCCCCCTTCCACTGGGTGTACGCCGCCTTTTTGGCAAGCAGGCATTCCCAGACGCCCTTGATCATCTCCTATCCCAAGTGCTCTTCTCTATTTTTTCCTGTTAATGAAAACATTCAGCAGAATTGCTGCTCTTGTGGGCTGTAATCTTGCATTATATTGCCTAACAGTTAAGCCTGGGTAAGCAGTTCTTTTGCTTTTAAAATCGCATAGTATACCATGCTACATAATTGCAGCTAAGGCAGGCACCAGAAAAGATGCTAATATAACATTAGATATTCCTGTATTGTTGTATGTCTTACTCCTGACAATATACACTGTATAGCAATACAAAGGTGCTCTGTTGCATCATCCTGAGTTCAGGTGCTAAAACTCTGCATGAATTAACAAAATAACATTTCCTTACTCCTTCTGGCAGATGCTCTTGTGAACTCCAACCAGGCTACAAAATAAGATGACCTCTTTTTAAGACAGATGCAACCAGAACTTGGGTTACTAGAGATTCAGCATGGGAAATCCAAGGAACCACCAAAGTTGTGGAACCCATTTGGGCTACTGAAATAGCTAGTGGTAGAAGGGAGAAAACCACTCCCACTTCTCTTAATTTTTAATGTATAAAATTTACTCACTTACAACTAAAATGATTTAAAACAAAAGCCTACTTGCATATACACATCTATTCATTTATTTTTGTTTATCTTCAAGCAAGAGCTGGCAGAAATGATGGAGGATCATATGCTTGAAACCTTCCTTCAGCCTTGTATAGTCTCTCTAGCCATGTTTACACAAGAGCTGACGCCGCACTAGCTCGTTACTATTGTGCAGAAGCTTTGCATGGCAGGAAACGTGATGTGATGCTATTGCACAGTAGTATTGAGCTACTACGCAGTCAGAATAACCTAAAAGTCATTTGGTGAAGCTACTGCACAGTAACTTTGGTTACTACACAGTCATTTAGTACTTGTATAAACTGAGTACCTCCTGAAGCCAGCTGAGGCATAACTTCTGGTTTGAGTGAATGCCTGGTTCTTTGGATCTTTCCCACTCCCAATAACTGTGGCCAGGGCCAGCTTATAACATGCTGGGGCCCTAAACTATGTCAAGCTTAAGAGGCCCTATAGCATTACTAAACCTGGCACTTCTCCTGCCCCTGCGGGACCAGCTGCTGCTCCGCCCCGCCAGCCCCAAAGTGGCGGGGGAAGCTTGCATATGGCTGCTGCCTCCTCCATTAAGCACCCTGCGCCGCTGCCTTGTGTGTGGCTGGTGCTCCAGGACTGGCTGCTGCTACCCCCACACCCCTGCCCAGCTTCATGACCGGCTGCAGTGTCAGTTTAAAAAAAATGGCATTTTCAAATTTCCGGCATGTGCTTGGTCCTGAGGATGCCAGATTTGTTTGGTTTTTACTGTATTTTGTTTCATATTTAGAGGCCCCTCATAATGTGAGGCCCTAAGTTGTAGCTTGCTTAGCTTGTGTCTAAATCCAGCACTGACTGCAGCCCTCCCTCACAGGGCTACTTTCTGGTTCAGCTCCTAGAGATGGACTTCACATCTTTGAGGGGATGGAGCCCATGAAAGTCACAATCAGCAAAGCAGTCAGCTGTCAAAAAAACCCCTTTATTTGTCCACAGCAGTAATAATGGGCTGCGTCCTTCTGCACAAAACCCAGGCAGCCTATGACATGAAAAACAGCCTGGCCATTGCCTGCCAGACCACTCAACCTAGTCTGGCCCTGCCTGTCTCTCTTCTTTGCCTTGTCTTTAGGCATCTCCCTTTCAGGACTTTCTCTGGAGTACTGCTGTCTTCTCAAGGACTGCCCATCACAGGGGAATAGTGGGGAGTTTCTTCAAGTGTTTACCGGGAGTCCACTTGGCATATAACAGATCAATTTAGCTCTTTTTTGCTTGATGGCCCATTACTCTAATAGAGCACTTAGGCAAATCCCTACAGCTCTAATTCCAAATAAGATTAACCCCTTCTTTCTCTATGTGCAAGCGAGTCTGGGAAACTGAGGCATGCAACATTACTGTGTTGTAATACAAACATGTGTAAACCAGAAATGTTACAATAAAACCCATAATCGATCACAGCCTTAACTGCACTAAATGAATAGCTAAGTCAGTTTCAGAGTCAAACCCCGCTCCACTGTGGGCAGCTTACTCTTGACTGTACTATATATCATTTAGCCAGGGGATTCTTAATCAAGTTCCTGCCTGAGTGCACCTGGCTTGATGGTACATGTAGGAAGAAGTTGCTTGTAAAAGAGCTAGGGCTAAAAAGCTTTCAATAACTAAGCAAGCATGTGGAATTCTACTTGCAAGCAAATAAGAATATAAGAGTGCTCTAATATGTCATTTGCAAATAACATTGCCACCCAGGTGGGCAGTCTTATGTTACAGTAACTGAGCAGCTTGACTCTCTTCTTTTTTTCAGAGTTGTTTTGAGTACATTGCATTCTGGTAATCTGTTATGGAAGCCATTGGACATCAGGAATCCGGGTTTTCCATTCGCCATGGTAAAACGTGGATTTTCTCATTTTAAGGAGAAAAACCTGGATGCTCTTGTTTAAAGGAGAAAGACACTGAAAATGGTGGGTTTCTCCTTGCAGGTTGACAGAGTTCCAGCCTGCAAGAGACTGGGGGGAGCAGGAGGAGGGTGGTTAGGCAGGGGGTGCCATGTGCATGTGTGGAATTGAGTTACATAGCCTGCTACATTACTGGGGAGGAATTGAGGCCCCCTTTGTGAAGGAGTTGGGCAGGGCTGGGGCTGCTGTCCAGCTGGGGTGGTGCATGGGGCTTGGGGTCAGGGGCCAGAATGTGTGGCCACAGGGCCTGGGTGGGGAGCGGGATGGAGCTGCAGGTGGATTGGTGAGGGGGTGGGGGCTGGCTCCCTGCCACTGCATGCACTCCTGGTGGGGCATGACAGACATGTGCCCCCCAGATCTGTGCACACAGCAGAGGTGGGCTGCCTGCTATGGGCCTGGGACTCCATGCCCTGCTGCTCTCCCCCTGGGGCTCATGTAGATGCTGCATCCACCCTAGGGTTTTTCAAACAGGATGAAAAGGTATTACTCAAGAGTGGTGCTCATAGATCACAAAAACATCAGTAACACATGATGATTAATAGCATTATGAAATTCCTTGCCATATAGTTCCTACAAAGGTCAAACCACAAAACCACAATCTCACCATATTCTATTGTGATATTTTAACTGAGTCATTGCTGTTCATCTACATACCTTCCTCTTAGGATTTTTCTTAAACTTTTCTTGTTTCCCATCAATCTGATGGTTTCAGAATTTGGTTTTTACAATAATGTAGCAGGCTATTTAATTCAATTCCACAGAAAATGGAGGCAAAATAAATTCTGCCTCAGCAGGAATAGGTAGGTTCCCTTTGTTCTTTCATATGACAAAAGATGTCCGTATCTTTATATTTGTGTGCTTTGGTGTTTTTGTTGATTCGGGAGCTCTCGGCCATCAGAGACATTACCAGGGATCATTACATGAAAGTGGCTCTCGTTGATCCCAGTTCCCTTTGTACATCATTTTCCCTTGTTATGTCTTATCAAAGATAGTAAAAAAATCTAAAATACTCTCCTTTGTTACATGCACAATTATATACAAATTATACAATTATATACAAATATTTTATTCAGGTATTCTTGAACATTTGACACAATGCAGTACTTATTTATCTTAAATTTAGAGCAGTGGGTTTCATGTTAATCCTACTCCTTTTTTTTTTTTTTTTTTTGATCCTACAAAGATGTGAGTAATGGCACACATCAACTCTGCTCTACTGCCTGAGAAAAAGTCACAAATGGTCTCAGTCAAGTGTATTACTTTGGACTATTCGGGAAGCCCATAGCTCACTCCTGAATGAGTGTGGCTAATCAGAGGTGCTAACCTAAGATGAGTACCAACAGTACATCGTCATCCTGCTTCCAAACTTTTGTGCTGTATCTGTCTGTTGATTTGTAATACATGTAAACTCTGTTGTCCCTGGGGTAAGGACTGTTTTTCTGTTAGCCCTGGTCCTTGAGCAAAGCCCCTGGGCACTACCATACTACCAATAAATATTCATTGACATGAATCTAGGTGAAACATTGCCTAAATAATCATTGATTTGTAAATTATTCCATAATTTTATGGGATGTAATTTTTATAATAGGATGGCAATTAAAGATGTCAACTGCCAGATTTGAAATGTTTTGGTTATTGTGTAAATTTATTTATTTTTTGACACTGCCTCCAGGCCTTCTTGGAGTCCTGCTTCCTGACACACTCATCCTCTTCCTGCCCATGACAGAGTGGGAACTGTAGGGTTTTGGGCTTTTTGCAAAATGTTTTGAGACAATGGAGGTCAAAAGGAAGTTTACTGTTAGGTAATGCGGTGAGTTGAATTCATTTGTTCCTGTTTAAACATTTTTTTAAGGATGTTGGATATGTCATGTTGTTGCCGTCTTAAATGTCAGGACACCTAAAGCTTTGATACAAGTGTCCATTCTTAATTCTAAAGAAATAACAAAACAGTGTTCCTGTTTAAAAATCACTTTAATTTGTGAATATAAGCACATATCCTTCCTGGAGCCATAGCTGAAGTAGGAATGTACACTATTGCCCCCAAGAGTTGTGGTCAAGGAATACCAGGTAGATGCACGTTTCAATTCAGTTCAATTCAATTCAGCATGACAAGCTACACAGGAGTTATGTATTTCTACAAGAGAACCATCAGGTAACTTTCTCCTGGCAGTGATCTCTGAAGAGTCCTGAGGGCTACAGGGCTGTTCTGTGAATTCATATCTCCCAATTCATACCTCCTGGGGCAATGGCTAGTCACTTTAGAAACTCAGGATGACTGTTAAATTGGCTTTTCGTTGTTAGGCTTATGCCCATTTTCCTGACATGTGAATACATTTTCTTTAAACAAGCGGTGGAAATTTTAAAATAACCTGAAAAGGTTTTGAAATTCACAGCTTTCAACAGCCACTGGGACACCTACTATTTCTTCTCCTGTTTTAGCTCAGTAGAAAAATCTAAATCTGTAAATAAAAAAAAAACAGCCCACTTCAAATGAAAACTATTTTTTCACACAGCAAATTCTAGGTTCCTCATCCTCCATCTTTAACGAATGCCAGTAGTTATAGGGTGGATCCTCACCTCTGATTTTGTGTACTTTATTCTTTCGAAGTGACAATTAACATTCTTAACAAGCAAATCTGGCCACATAAGTTGGATTTTGCCATCTGCCTCTATGGCCAGAATTGACATCCTACATTGTCACCCTGTCAAAATCAGGGAGGTTACATAGCACATAGAGAACTCATTATTTTAGGATGACAAGCCAATGTTGACAGAGGCAGTGGGAGGGTCACCTCTGGCTTTCACAAAGTGTGGGGAGATGTTCTTCCATGTCCCCCTTTGGTTGCTACTACATGCATGCACATCCTGTGAAATGGTTTCTGGCTTACAATACAAGCTCTAGGTTAAATTTAAAAAATCCCTCCTTGGGGCAGTATTAGCCTATAAAGACAAATAATACATGTATGTAACACCCAAAAGGAAAAAAAAGTTAAACAATTAATTGGAATACACATCCAATAATTTTTGTCGCCATATTTGCAAAATTCTAGCAAAACAAATGGTTAAATAATGATATTCTATTCCTGTGTTAAAAAGGATTACTGATTTAAGAGTTTTGTCATATTTAGTCTTCAAATACTGACTACTTGATTTCGTATTTTAAGAAACAGTTGGGATCCTTTTAGATTTGTCTGTTAAATTTTTCAATAAATTATTCATTTTAAATGCCATTGCCAACTGTCTCCAGCTGGATACAGATGACACTTATCATTGGTTGTAATGGCCTTCCCCACTGTTAATTTTTCATTAGTAAAAATAGACTGGAAAAGAATTAAATTTGTCAGACATGTCATTTGGATTGTTCAAGGAATGTCACCCTTAATAATAAAAATAGATCTTTTGCAAGATGGCATTATATTTTAATAAATGTGGAAACTGGAGTATATTGAATTATACTGCCAGAGTTTATTACATTTAAGTATTTACTGGGATGTATAAGCTCCATTTTTCCTGCTATAGTATGAAAACTTTGTAACTGTCTGTCATTATAGGGACTGTTTTCAGAATCATAAAATATGTTAGCAGATAAACTGATTGTTGGATAGAGTATTAGCTTTTTTAAAGACATAAATGTTTGCTCTACTTGAAAATGCATGGGAAAAATGACACAGTGGCTTTTTAGATTTGTAAAGTATGGTAAAATAAATTCTATCTTAGTAATCTTTTTGTAGTAAACATGTTTAGTTGGATGGCATACTTGAAAAGTGCATGAACCTTGATTTTCTCAGGTGCAGTTTCTTGACTTTGCTAGAGTGTAGTCTCCATAGGCAGCTCAAGAAATACAAAATTATTCCCTTATTCTGAGAATCTGTAGAGGTAACCAGATTTCTCTGATGGTCAGTGGTATTATCAGTAGTAATGAAAGAGTCACTATAACAAGGTAGTTGGAATTGGGTAGTGGCTCCAGTAATACATCTGATCTATAAGGATCTGATAGAATTTTGTAACCTTGGCCATTTATTCCTATAGACAACGTATTAACTGAGATTTGAATAGTATCTATGCTTATTTTTGTTGTCCTTGCCCCCTTTACCTTTGGAACCATATAGAATTAATATGTGATAAAATAGCCCCTTGTCAACTAGGAACTTTTTAAATGTGCTCCTTATTAAGAAAGCATCAACTCCCTGATTTTTGTTTCTGTTCTTTTAAGGAGATTAGATCAAGAATGAAAGTTTCATTCAAAAAATAAAACAGATGGCAACCAGTGATTTACTGCTGTACAGAACATTTTTAAGTAAAGAAGAAATCGAACAGTTTCTTCCTAGATTTTAATACTTTTCTTCAATGTGAACAGATCACTCAGCCAACTTAATGAAGGATGGAGAGTGTGGAGCTGTGGGTTAAATGTATTATCATTTAATTCATTTTTGAAATGCTGCAGAAAATTGTGATCAATTATAACAAATACATCTGCAGTTCCAGTTATTGCAGTGGTATAAGTTGGTAGTGTAGACACCATGCACAATATCACCAGCCATCTGCATATACTGCCATGGAAGTCTTGGCTAGTCTCATAGACACTTAATGCCTAGTCTGTGCTTTTTTCCAGTTTGTTCATTGACCACCTTTTTGCCAAGACTTTCATTTACTACTCCTTGATAGCCTTAAATGCAGTTGTTTCAGTACAGCTTGTCAGGAGCAAATGCTCCAATATCCTACATGAGTACCTGTTGTGAATGGCAGTCTCCTCCTACTGACTGTAGAATGGGAAGAGAATTCTCTTGTTTGACCTTCTATCCTTTCTTAGCAGCTGAGCTAACGTGATTGTTCCTACCTGCTGTCTTCAGCATCACAGTGTTTATTGATAAGCCATGCTCTGAAAGAGGTTAAAAAATTTGGCAGTTTGCCATACAAGATTTTCTTTGGCAGGCGAGTGTTGGCCATTCTTAAAAGGTGGCTGGCCCATCTTAGCTGTGAGTAGAGTGTGACTAGTGGAGAGAGCAGATCTTCTGAGCACCTCAGTGTCCAGAATCTTTTCCTGCCACTTGATCTTTAGTATCTTTTGCAGGCAGCACAGGTGGACGTGGTTTAGTTTCTTGACATGACGCTGGTAGACGGTCCAGGTTTTGCAGCCATAGCGGAGGGTTGGGAGAGTGGTGGCTTTGTATACATTCAATTTCATCGACAATCTGATGCCTGTGTGGTCCCCGACTGACTTACGGGGTCTGCTGAAGGCCACCCTAGCTTTCTCTAGTCTCACATTGACTTCGTCGTCAATGTGGACAGCACGGAAAAGCGTGCTGCCTAGATAGACAAACTTGTTAACAATCGACAGTTGTTGGCCTTTAACTGAGACGTGTGGTTCCTGGGGTGTTGTGCTGGGCGCAGGTTGAAACATCACTTCAGTCTTCTTTGGTAGTTGTATATTTCGTTTTAAAATCACATCATTTCATTACAGTCCAAAATTAAAATTGCTTGTGTGCATTAGCTGTTTTCCCCTTACCTTAAATTAATTTGGCTTGCTCTTAAGTCTAATCCTTAACTCCTCATTTCCTTAGATTTGTAGTGCTTAGTTTAGCAGCAATTACTGCAGTGTTATGATAGTTTCACTATTAAGTTACTGACAAATATACTTAGCCTTAAATCCATTTAAGGATGTTTTGTATCATGAAAGTAGTACAAAACAGCCAAAGCACACTGGTATATCTGGTCCTTGAGTTGCATGGACCTAGGGTTATAGAGGGCTATTAGTCATTGTAGCCGCCGGGCCTCGAACAGTCACTCCCAGGAAGCTTTCGCTCGGGTGGATGGTGTCAAATGCCTCACGGGTTCGTGTTCTCGCCTGACCCGATGTTTTCCGCCCGTGTCTTCAACCCCACGCTCTCCTGCCACGACTTGTTGGACCTCCGTGTGTGGGGTTGTTTTTCAGGTGTGCTCGTTGGCCTGTGGCTCACCCGGCGGATACTCATGGGGCTCTGCCACCCCTACACCTCGGCCTCATGCCTTCTGTGGAGTGGTGTCTGTCTAACAGCCTCCTCTTTCTGTGGGGGGGGGGCACCCATGACTGGAGCCTCATGCTAGGCTTGCCTAGCCATCACCCTTCCCTCAAGGAGAATACCCTAGGGACAGGACCAAAACCTCTGAGACTCCTTCTCAGCCTCACTACTCGGGGACCCACTCCCCTCCTGTATCCCTGTAGCCTGGGAAAACAAACCAAAAAATGCCTCAACAAAATCACTGGGCAACCTGCCCCTCCGGCTTCCCCTTCTACCCTTCCCGGGTCTCTAAGGGGAACGGGTTGTCTTCTCCCTCCGTGTCACCTCAGCATCTGCTCTCTCGCCTGCTTAAAGACCCATCCGGGTCTGGTGGTGATATCCGCCCTGACAGCAACCCCTCTGGGGCTCTCCCGGGGTCCTTTTCTTCCTGGCAGGACTTCGTCGGTGCCCCGTTGTCCCCACACTCCCACCTGCAGTCTGCTCCGTTCCCCGGGTCACTCTGGCTATGTCCCTGGACAGCATTCTGGACGTTCCCTCACTGTCCCATGCAAGTTGACATCAAGGTGCTCCGCCTCGTTCTGCCTGCCTTCTCCCCAGCTGGCTCCGACCCCTGGGTCCCGTGGGGAGCGGCTTCTCTGCTGCTGACGTCGGCAGCAGTTCTTCTCCCTGACCCTCCGCCGTCTGCACAGCGTGTGCTGCCGTTTTTATTTTTGCCGGCCGGTGTTTAATGCTGACGTCACCGGCCGGCCGCAGTTGGATAAAGAGGCGGCTGATGAGCTGCGCGGGCTCTTCCTTCCACCCCTCGTGCCCTGTGCTCCGGGCTGCTGGTGAGTATCCCTCGTTATGTTGTTTCCTGGGACATAACGCGCCCCCGCCAGTCTCCTTGTGGCAGTTTCGCGAGACGTGCGGTGGTGTTACCTGTGGTCTGGTGTGAGAGGTGGTGTTGTGGCCAATCAACATCTTGTCCCGTGCCCTCACCGCATCTAGACAAGAAGTCAGCTGTTATGTTGTCTTTCCCAGGGCAGTACACAATACAAAATTTGAAGGGTTGCAAAGCCAACGCCCATCGCATTATTCGCGCATTATTGGTTTTGGTGGAACTGAGCCATTTCAGGGGCGCGTGGTCGGTGATGAGTGTAAACTCCCTGCTGAGCAGGTAATAATGGAAGTGTTCCACCACCCACCAGATAGCTAGGCATTCCCGTTCAATTGTCGCATACCTGGTTTTGGCCGGCAGCAATTTCCGACTTGTGTAGGCTACAGGCTGGTCTAGGTCTGCGTCTTGTTGAGTAAGTACTGCCCAAATGGTGGTTTTGGAGGCGTCCGTCTGTAACGTAAAAGGTTTATCGAAGTCAGGGGTGTGTATAATTACATCCTCACATAGGGCCTTTTTCAAGGTTTGAAAGCTTTGGAACATCGCCCCCGCCCACTGGATCCCCTTCCAGGGTGACCCTTTTAGGGCCTCTGATAGGGGTGATGCTATTTCTGCAAATTGCGGCACGAATCTACGATAATAATTCACCAAACCCAGGAATGATTGTAGCTGCTTGAGTGTTTGTGGAGCCTGGAAGGAGTGAATGGCTTGGACCTTATCTTCCAACAGCCGGATAGTACCTTGCCCCACAAGGAACCTAAGATATTTTGTGTACATGTGGGCGATCACGCATTTGCAGGGGGTTGCTGTCAGACCCTCCTTTCGTAGTTCAGCCAATACAGCTCTCAGGGCGCGTAGGTGTTGACCCCATGATCGAGTGAATATGGCAATGTTGTCAATGTATGCGGCAGTGTACTCGACGTGTGGTGCTAGAATGCGCTCCATTAGCCACTGGAAGGTGGTGGCCACCCCATGCAGCGCAAATGGCATCCATACAAATTCATACAACCCCCAGGGGGTTCCAAAGGCAGTCTTGGGGCGGTCACATGGCCGAACCGGGATCTGCCAGTATCTTTTGGCTAAATCTAGTGTAGTTATAAACCGGGCTGCCCCAAGCCGTTCCACTAATTCCATTACCCATGGCATGGGGAAGGCATCGAATGTAGCTATTTCGTTCAACTTGCGGTAATCTATACAGAGCCATTAGGGTCCCATCTGGTTTCCGTACTGGTACCAGGGCACTCCGCCAAGGGCTTCCGGCTGGCTTACTGACACCTAGGGCATCTTTCTCACTTCTGCCTGTACCTCTTCTGTTAGGTGGTGGGGTAGGGGCCACCATCGATCCTGTACAACTGCCCCTGGGGATGTATGAATGGGGTGGTAACATGTTTTTCACCCATCCGGGATCCTCCGAGAAAACCTCCTTAAACTCTACGAGGAGGTTCCACACTTCCTTTTTCTGATTCATGGTTAGCCTGCTACCTATGCGAATACCCTTCATGGGTTCTGGGGCCGCTAGCTCGGGGCTGGGTTCTCGCGGTCCTAGGTCGTCAATCACTACTGCCCTAAATGCCACCCACCCTTCGGGTTTTTGCCATTCCCGTAGTAGATTAACGTAGTAAATCTGTTTCGTTCTTTGATGACCCGGGCAGTAAACCTCATAGTCAACTGGGCCGACTCTCCATGTAATTTCGAATGGGCCTTGCCACTGAGTCAACAACTTGCTGTGCGAAGTGAGCAATAGAACTAGCACTTTTTGCCTGGGTTGAAACTCCCGCTCCTTTGAGTGCAAGTCATACCTTTCCTTTTGGCACTGTAAATTACCAGCAGCTAGCTCTTGCGCTCTGGACCCACTGCTGGAATGCTTGTTGATACCTTGACAGGCTGGAGATAATCACAGGGCCCTGTTCCCATTCTTCCTGGAGGATTTGCAATAAACCTTGGGGCTGATGGCCTAGTACTAGTTTGAAGGGGGAATACCCTAGGGATTCTGATGGAACACACCTGAGTACGAATAAGGCCAACTGTAG